GCACTTCCGGTCTGGGGTGGTGGGCAGAAGTCGCCGTGCGAGGCATGCATTCCTCTGTTCCTTTGGAAGAAACCAGACAAAAAACCTGCCTTCTTGTCAAAATGCTGCGACGGGGGCTGTAAGAAGAGAGTCTGGAAAGGTTTGAAGATCAGTTTTCATGTGTTTCTGCCCCCTCCTTTCGTCCGAGAACGTGGATAGTAGCCGTGAAAAGGGCAAACCAGTTGCTGTCGAACTACGATTGCTTGTACGGGCAACACTTTGTGGTCGCCAGATGTATTTGTTTTGTTCCAACATGAACGAGAGAAAACCGCCAAGTTGTCCGGACCACCCACAGGTTCAGTGCGTCTTCAAATTCACCCGGCCGCCTGATCGTTCGAACTTTCGTCTGCTCTCTCAAACTTGTCTGCTTTTTGACGTCTGCTCGTTTCAAGCAAAAGCGGCCCGTAGACCAAACTTTGACCTGGTGATTGCAATAAGTAATTGCAGGCCTCAAAATACTTAAGTAGGCTCGGTGTAAACAGTAGATACAAGATGTTTTTCATTGGTACCAGTGGCCGTCACAGACTTGTTACGCTTGGTCTGTCCCCGCTTCCGATTTTCAGTATCGACGTCGATCATCGCCGCTACCTTCTACACTCTTGCAGCACGAGCGACGTCGCGACCGAAAATAGCGAGAACAATCTCATCATGGTATTGGCGTCCATTCTGCGGCGTTCATGCGAATGAATCGCCGCAGGTCAAATTATTTACGCAAAGTTTAGCGGCGTAACAAGCCTTGATAATTTCGCTCGGGCGATTAAAGTGATAAGACATCGTTATGAGGACGTAGAATCGACAATTCCAACGCGGAAAAGAGTGTGCAGACTCACACAGACGCCGACAACGTGACATTGCAATGGTTTGTTGACGCGGGACGCGGTGCTTCTTGCCCGTACTCCATTGCGCATGCGTTCGAACTGTTGTCTGCTCTTTCAAACTTGTCTGCTTTTTGTCGTCAGCTCGTTCAAACTACAGCGGCCCGTAAACCAAACGTTGACCCGGTAATTCCGATAAGAACTAAGTGCAGGCCTCAAAAAACTTTGAAGGTTGGTTGGGGTAAGTAGGCTAAGTGTAAACAGTAGATACAAGATGTTGATCATTATCATTGTTACCAGTGGTCATCACCGACTTGTAATGCCCTATTCTACTTGCGGTTTTCAGTATCAACGTCCACCATCTCAACTACGGTCCACGCTTTTGCAGCTTGAGCGACGTCGCGACTGAAAATAGCGAGCAGAATCTCATCGTGGGAGTCAGGCTTTAGCGCCCATTCTGCGGCGTTTACGTGAAATGATTCGCCGCACGTCACATTATTCACGCAAAGTTTTGCCTCGTTAATTTTGCTGAAGCCGCTCAAGTAGTCAGACATTGTTAGGAGGATGTAGAATCAACAATTCCAACGCGAAAAAGAGCACGGGGACTCCCACCGACGCCGACAACAACGCAATTCAATGGTTTGTTTATGGGCAACGGCGGACTCTTGCCCACCATCCACCGCGCATGCACGGCGCCGGTGGCGTCCGCTAGAGGCGCTCCGGTTTGTTTGTAAACATAAGTTGACGCGATTGGCGCGCCGCCGCGCGGCCGGTACCCAAGGTAGGCAGTGAGAACCCCAGAGAAAACGAAACCGAAACCACGCCGCGTACGTTGGTACGCATTGAAGTCGGAGCGGTGCGGTTCCGCTGGGATCACAGCATGAAGTGCTGCCTGTGCTGCGTCATTAAGTCCTTCAATAGTTATGCGTCGTATCTCGTGGGGACAAAGTTTCACAGTTTTTCACCCCTCGCCAATGTTTTGTGGGACAGCGACAACGATGAACCGGTGTCGAACGATGCGAGAAATATGGTCTTCCGGTCATGTCTGCCACTGTGTCAGCACGGCTGACATACTCTACACTGCCGCTTTGCGCTCTGTGTTTGTTTTCGTACCAGTAACGGCAACATGTGTTAGCGCCGATGGGACGAGCTGAAATGCCATCCCACACTCGCGGGTATGCAGTGCCAATTTCGTTGGAGGAATGCCCTCCAAAGAAGTTTCGTCCCCATCGTACGCGTCGATGATATTTCCGGACAAGTATAGCACGCAATCTGTACTTCATGAAGAAAAATTCGAACGGTAAAAATAAAAAAAAAAGAAGTGACAAATATAAATCTAAAGAAAACAACAATGAAACTCTGAATCACTGGAAAATCGGCGTTTGAGTATGGAAGGTTATGTGGTGTGCTTTCTTTCTTGATCAGCCTCCTAAATGCGGAAATGTTGACACCACAACTTCTGTAGAAAACAATTTTTTTACTCGGCTTTAGAGCCAGCTGCCGCAAAGTGGTTCAAACTGGAAGTACTGTCCACTGGTCCCTTCCTACCTGTAAAGTGTGCACCTCCCACAATGAGTGGTATTATCTTGACAGTCATTGACGGTCAAAACCAGTTCCCATTTAGTTACGCCGCCCAAACTAAATTTCCACCTGGTTTCGCTATGCCAACTATTTTTGGTATAATAAGTGTTGTGTCAAGTTACGGTCATGTCAAAGTACCCGTGCGCCGAAAATCAGCACCTCGCACAACAGGTTATTAACAAAAGCTCACCGCAAAAGCCCTTGGCGGCCAAACCGTGTGTTGGCCGACAACTTTGTTTTTTCGGCTTTGGAACCATCTTTTTGCATCAATTGTAAGTACAGTCCACTAGTCCCTTCCTACCTGTAAATCTCCACCTCCCACAACCAGTGGTATTCTCTTAACAGCCCTTTCATGGTCAAAACCAGTTCCCATTGAGTTACGCCGCCCAAACCAAATTTCTACCTGTCTTCCCTATGCCACCTCTTTTTGGTATAATAAGTGCTGTATCATGTTACTGTCAAGTCCAAGTACCTGTGTGCCCAAATCTGCACTTCGCACAGCCCGGTTATAACACAACAATTTGGGTCCAATATTAGATATCCCGTACAGCTTTATTTCTTTATTCATTAGAAAAAGAACTTTCACACACTTCGTGCAGAAACTTAGTGAACATCTCACTCGCCTCCAAATATCATCATTCCAGCAGTCCTACGTTTACAGCGACGAGCGGATTTTCTTGCTTTTCGGAAAATTCCTCCAACTCTTTTTTCGGCCGCGACTAGAGGAATTACCCCTAATAACGACTCAAACTCAATATATTAGAAGTGGAGAACAGCTAAATGTCATTCTGCCCCAGCACTCATGCAACGTCACCCTCAACGTATCGGCTCAAAAAGCAAAAGTTTCGTCCGTGCGCGCTTCCGCCGCCACAGCTTGGCATGCGGAAAGGCGCCGCAGGCTGCTGAACGCGCCTCACTGTCGAACGCCAGCTCCTCCGCTAGCGGCGCTGCGCGCGTTTTTCAAAGCGCCCCTATAGTTCCCGCACAGAGCGCTTTCAGCTTAAGTCCACGCGCAGCCGACGCTACGAGCTGATGGGACCAATAAGACAGCGTCAAAAGCGTACCATCCTGGCGTTCGACGCGTTTTTACACGGGTTCTATCATCACTTGACCGGTCGTCGTAAACAGAAAAGGCCTAGTGAGTGGCGATTTTGACGCTGCTCGATTGGTTCTATTACCTCGCAGCGTCGGCTGCGGCTAAGCGTAAACTGAAACGAAGTATAACAACAGTTTAGGACGAGAGAAAGCGGTGGCGCCATCTATCAGGTAGCTCTGTGTCCCTTTCATTATACGTATAAAGATTTGCAGTGTTTTCGAAATTAAATCTAAGCACTGTTTATTTAAAAAAAAAATTCAATTATATCGTCGTCACAATCATTTAAAGTCCGTGGTAATAGAATGATGAGTAGAAGGTAGAAACTATGCGCGAATGGTAAGCGTTCCAAAGCAACGGATGGATGGTGTCAGCGTGTTCTAACATCGTGAGCGGTTGCACACGGTTGCAACGCAGTCGTTCCCACTCGCACGCATATTTGTAAAGGAGCCTCGGTTATATTTTGCCGTGTCATAAAAGTCCCGTCAACGTTACGAGCCACTCAAACAGCGCCAAAAAAGCACTGTCGCGGTGCTCGTCGTTCTTTAGCATGTACGATATCAACCGGCTGAACCAATCAAGCACTTTTTATGCGCCGCGACATAGCACTTTTAGCTCCTCTCTCTGTGTTCGTGTGTCTTCTATCTTTTGACTGACCTCTCCGACTTCCCTGCTGAAGCGCACAATATCAAACAAGAAGTAAATTCAATTCCTTTTTTCTTAAATACTAACAACTGTAACGGCAGCATTGTTTGCGGTCTACGAGTCTATAGTGGACCGATCTCACTAGGCGTTCTACACTTCCTGCGTGGTGTCGCCATAATTGTAGCTTGTAGGAGGCAGGCAACAGTGTACGAGACAGCTTGTGCCATCTCGTGCTCTGCTTGTGGCGACTAACAGCGGGCTTTCCGCAAGTACAGAAATAACACAGGTCCCAGGATGCAAGCCAGTAACGGCGGCGTAACGAAGCTAGCTGGTGAGATCGGTTTACATACCTGTAGGTACACACGCTGCACGCGCTCGCCTCCCCTATATCATAACCTATACAAAAGATTCGAAGTAAATACTAAAATAAAGCGTTTGTGAAACGCAGGTGCGAAGTTCTAGTTGTTTCAGATGTTTACTTTCGAACAGCTCCTTCTGAAGATGCCAGCACGCGCAGGGCGTGTACCTACGTTCCTGGAATTCTCTATAAGGCTTGGTAATTCGGAAAAAAAATCTATTGGAGCGTGGTAAGTTAAAATAATGTTTCTAGAAAGGTAATCGATAGTTATTCGTAGGCTAATTAGTTTTTTTCATTACAACCTTACAAAATCGACAATGCCGCCACATTTGGAGAATCGCTTACAATGCATGCTTCAAAAACAGTTACTTCTCAGAAGAGCCCATTCATTCAGAAATATGTTCCATCTAAATTCACCAAGCATATACCTTCGACTGGAAATTGTTTGAACGTGAAAGAAGCAAAGTACCTTTGAGAGCCTGATCTTTGGAGCCATGTAAATGTAGTATCCTAAGACCACGCCGATGCAGAAGGGTCCGATGTGAGAGAACGGCTTGAAGTAAATCTGGTTCGCCGTGCCAATAGTGTAACTGAAAAAAAAAAAAAAATTATCTCATAATGCGTCTTTCTCTTAATTTTGACGCCCCGGTAGGTACCTCACTTCGCTTATATTTTGCCTGGTTTCAAGATGTGTCTTAATGCCTCTGTAGAATCGAACCATGTTCATATTTCTACTCTTCTTGTTTGAAGATTAACGTAGCAAGTTTCTTCTGTTATACTTGTTAGCGAGCGCGCTGGTAACGATGCAAGTTTAGAAAGAGTTATATACGTAAAAACAGGGGACGGGAGAACACATCTTTCATTCCCCCCGTTTCTTTTTTTTTTTTTTCCGGGACCTTGTCTTGCGCCCCTCCTTCCCCTTCCCCCTCCTTTTAACTTTCCCTCTCCTATAATGGAACTCCGAAGGCGAAACGTGCCTGCAATAAATTCATTTGTTTGTTGAAAGTCAAAGATGCGTTCTTCCGTACCCTATCTTCACGTTACGACTCTTTCTAAACTTACAATTCTTCTGTTGATCGCAGCAACTGCGGCCTCGTGAGTGATGACAAGAGCAGTCCTGAGATGATAATTTTAAAGGCACTTTTAATATAAATTGTTTTATCGTTGCCCTATTTTTGCACTCCTTACACCAAGTTCACGTATAAGCGTTGACAAATATTTTGATGCTTTAAGAGCGATTAAGGTTCATTAGGTTTTGGAATAGGCATCTCTCAGGCGGGCATTACAATGGAACCATTGGGTCGGTTTTAAAAAAAATAGGGCGATCTAGGGTTTTTATTCAAAGGTAATATAAGCTTCCTCGTCCTTTGTACTAATTTTACAGCTTAAATTTAGAAACGAAAACGCTCAATATCCACTCAACTTGATAAAACAGTAGAAATATGCAGTTCACTCGCCTCACGTCTGTATGTGTGAAGATGATGGCGGGCTGGTAGTTCATGATGTAGCTTATGATACCGGTGTAAGCCGAGGACGCCACAGTGGCAAATGCGGCGATCATAATTCCCAGGTAAGGCCGCCTGCAATAAAATGCAAATGAGTATCTCAAGCGACGTCGATTCCGGTGCCTCTTCGTTTTTCATATACAATTCAAGGAAATATGCATTCGCTTACCGGATCATGAGAATGGGGATGAATATGAGAGCAACGTAGAGCTGGAAATCGATGTTTATATACCATAAATGCCCCAGGCACTGCAATAAAATAAAAATACGTTTTAGTATTTAATTTTCAATCATGGTACAATGCGCTGCCATATAAAAGACCCACTCGGAGCGCTCGGCCACGCGCTCCGACTGGGTCTTTCATATTGCAGCGCACTGTACATTCTCGTTTTAATGTACTTGATTGATCATTTGTTGCAGCCCAACAGATTACATAATTCAATGACCTCGAGGTCAATTGCCTTTTATAGGGTTGCTATGCTCATCATTTTCTTTCAGAGAAACATCAAGGATATTAAATTTAAATAAATGTTTATATCTTCAACAGGGCATGCGTTCATATAGAAAACTTCAGGACAACCGCAGTCAAAGCCTGTTTCGTTTTGTAGGATAGTCGTGACCAGCATTTGAGTAAAGGGCGAGGATATCGGCGTAAGGGCACCGTCAGTGCGCTTGACTGAGAAAGAGTTTGCCTCTTTGTATCGGGAGCCTGAATTTGTGTACAAATAGTGTGTTTCAATAAGCGTTGAGTGTTAAGTTAGCGCTTGGTCCTGTCTTGTCTTCCTCGTGTACTCGTTTTTTAAGCGCTTTGCAAGTTGTACCAACTAGCCCACCTATCTATATTAATGCAACTCCAACCGTCTGACACGCCGATTGTTGTGCAGTTAAGTTGAATAAGAACGTAGAAAATGAGACAAGGCTTAACTCATTACAATGGTTTCTTTCCATTTGAAACGCAAAATACGAAGCTATACTTCATTCACCAATGAGCTGACAAGGTGGTGGAAGCTACGTAATCGCCAAACAAATCCATCTCCTGCCTTTTACTGCCTGCTTCCACCGTCTGCGCGTAAGCGTGTGCACAGAGCATAATCACGCGGTGCAAGACTGGTGGTTGACTGGTTCAAAGAACACGTAGCTTCCATTGTCTGTCAGCTTAGCGGTGAACAGAATATATATGGGATATTTAAAATTAAGTTATGTGTAGTTCATGCGCAACGAACTGCGTCACACAGGGGAGAAAATTTGCGTCGGTCTTTGCGATTTTGTTGTGCGTAAATCGCCGAATTCAATGGAAAATCTGGAGGCGGATAGCTCCGTACAGGGGCTGCATGGTTACGAGAATCTTACAAAATGAAACATTTTTGAACTATAGACGTCATGGAGCTTTCTATAAAAACATGTCACAACTGCAGTAATTAAAATTCTTATTATTGATTTGAGTTCATTAGAAAATTTACAATTACGATTAACCGTCCAGTTTGTGTCCAGCTGGGAGCGTAACCTTGATGCACGAGCAACTTTTGTGTATATCTAATCGTTTTTTTAGTATGAAAACCTTAATTTAATACATTCGGTATATAATAGCTGCGTGTAGTTAGGTATTTTTGAATAGATCTTCACTCCAATAAATGCAACTCGCTCAATAGTTTTACTTTATGTTATTTACATCTTAGTACCAACAATTATTATTCATACACAACGCAGATGCAAAAAACAAGACTCGATGATTAACAATGTACAAGGTGATTCAAGGAGAGGCCAGGCTCTTTAAATCGACCGCAAAATTCGGTTTTTTAACCTATCGCGCTACGACTTTCTGCAGCGTTGCCTACAGATGGTGAATTTATTTTGTAAAATTTGCAAAGAGCGAATATACCTGAGGAAAAAGTAAAGAAAAAAAAAAAGGCTTAGTTCCTATGGAAATGCAGCGACGCCACCGGTCTTCAAACAACACGGCGCCGTTTTGCACGGGACACAAGAGATGGCGCAAGCGGTCACGACGCCAACGAACAAGCATACGAGCATACGGCGCCGAGAACCGGTGTCTTTAGCAGACACACTTTTGGAGTCGAAAGCGGTGCGCGTTCCGCAGGCGGCGCCAGTCGCAGAAACAAAAACAGGCGCGGTAACAAGGAACTGCAGTTTCTTGTCTGCTAAAGACGGCGGCTCTCGGCGTCGTATGCTCGTTCGTTGGCGGCAGTTAGCGTCGCGACCGCTTGCGCCATCTCTTGTCTCCCATGCGAAATGGCGCCGTGTTGTTTGAAGACCGATGGCTTCGCTGCGTTTCCATAGGAACTAAGCCTTTTTCTTTCTTTAGTTATCCTCAGGTAAGTTTTTTTTTTTTTTTTGTTAATTTTACAAAAAAAATGCACCATCTGTGGGCAACGCTGAACAAAGTAGTAGCGCGACAGGTTCAGAAACCGAGTTTTGCTGTCGATTTAAAGAGCCCGGCCTCTCCCTGAATCACCCTGTAGGTCAGAAAGCCATTAGATAGACATATCTGCGAGTACCCGTGGTAAAAAAACAATTGCTGAAGTTATTTTTTTTAAATACGTGCATATGTTTGGAAATTTGTGTATTTTTTTACGCAAATGAACTGCGCATTAACGACACCACTAGATGCTTTTCCGCGCAAAATTGGAAAAAAATACAAGCAAGAGAAGTGTTATTTAAACGTGCGCGGTGTCAATATCTGCAAATCTGAATATAATTATAAGGCGCATGCAGCGCAGAGTGACCCAAAACCAAGAGCGCTCACTTGTATCCTTCAATATTTGCCCCGCGACGACGTGACAACCAGCGTTTTAGTCGTAACAAAAATGTACTACAATTTTTACACACCGCTATTTAAATTTCCTTCCCATTCACTTTCGCTTTTGATGACTACTTAAAACGTGCCTTTTTAGAGCGCAACCCTTAGGGGCCCTTTTCCGGCTTGAGCGGCGTCGGCGTAACCGAGAGGTCACGTGACCCCCCCCCCCCCCTCCGAGGTCACGTGAACCCTCCTGAGGTCAGGCGACCCCCCGAGGTCACGTGATTTCCCTCCCCCGAGGTCACGTGACCCCCCTGACGTCACACGACCCCCCCTGAGGTCACGTGACCTCAAGGAGTCACCTATCCCTCAGTACGCTTCCATCCTCCTCCTCAAGAGCCGCGCTCTAATCCGGCGCCACAGGGAATTGTAAACGGCTTTCGTTTTTTTTTTCCCCTCGTCTTGATATTAAAGCCATTGCAAGAAAACAATACCAAAGATAGCGCACACAACTTCCGAGAGAATGCCACCAATGAGGAACACGAGCGAGCATGCAGGACTGGGGAAGCGCACCATTTCGAGGAAAGGAGCAAAGTTGTTTGTGTGAAGCATCACGGACCACCACCGCCTCTGGCAGGTATCCAGAAAGGTGGCCTTGAAGTCATTGAGCACCGGACCATCGGCCATCAGAGGAACCAGAAGCCAGATTCCCACAATGAACATGGCCGGCACGGTCAATCTAAACATTAAAACAATCAAGATAAACACTCTGGAGCCGTTCCCACCACGTGACAGCAACAGCAGGCAACGCGGGATGGTTACACCACGAGCCCACTTCTTTACGGCACGCTTAGGGTACGCGCGTATGCTAATATCACCCATTAAACCAATCACGCACAATGAAGGCGTTGTGATCCTGCTTTGTTTTCTTTTTTTTTTCATTACACGATTGATTTATTGGTGATGAAAAGCCCGCAAATATATTTGACGCCGTGACGATACACGTTTAATGCTGCACCATTGGCTCCAGTTGGGTCGTAGCGTTAGGCTTAACTGTCGGACTTAAAAGTGAAATGGAGCATACCTCTCTTCATTTTTTTTTTTTTCGCAAGTAAAGAAAACGTGTTTTTTTTTTTTGTATTGTAAATAAGTTAACAAGAAAGCACCATAACATGTTGTGGTCCTATCAATTTGCCAGGAACTACAGTTTAAGTGGGAAAGCAGGGGACTTTTTGCGTCTTTTCAGAGTGACAGTGTATCCAAGGAATTAAGTTATTGAAAAAGTCTAGTGGCCCCGACCTCTCGCAACACACGCCCCTCAAGTCCTTCTTTTACTCACTTGAGAGAAGTGCTTCGTTAATGCTGTTCTTTTTAATCATTTCTTTATTTACAGATAATTTAAGTTATCGCCTCCAAGTTTGTAAATTTTTAAGAAATGTGCAGTGATCACTTAAAAAAATATCATCAACATTTGCAGTCCCATTAGAAGTGGCGCTGGCGTATATAACATTTTTAATAGAAATTAGCTTGTTCTATAAACTTTGTTCAACCGTTCCAGTAATAGTGTTTGCCTCACAAGCTGTAACAAAAATGGATGCAAATATTCAGCTTAAAGTAAGCAGTGCAAAGGGCTGGAAACATTACCATTAACAGTGTTGAAACATGGATCTAGAGCCATCGACTCACCGTATATAACGACGCAAAAGAATAAGTGGGACCCAAAGGAACAGCCTGGTCTTGTTCCTAAGTGACTTTTGCACGTTGTACGACAACAAAAATCCACTGCGAAGAAATCGAAGGAATGTATTAGTTGATGAGAAAGACGCGAAATATTTTGGTATCAAATATTGCGTCCTAAGTAGTGCCGTTTTTTCTTATGTGCGTGCGTGTTTTTTTTTTTTTTTTTTGTAAATGCGGTTTATACGTTGATTCACCTTATAAACAGGAAAGTCTCAACGGATGGAAACGCGTTGGCGATCAGTGTGGTCATAAATTCTTCCACCAGGTCCACGACGTTCATCAAAGAACCTATCATGTATAAGAAAACACGTCAATTACCAGAATGAACACCATTAAGATCCTTCCCAACGAAAGTAATATTGAAGCCGTATGTGGTTCTGCCCGAAAAGTACAGCTGTCCGCACATCTCAATGATTGCTCTTCACCACTGCACGACGACAACCGAAAACACATCGTAACTTCGGTTTCGCAAACATGCTCAAAATGACACGGAGTCAAACTTTTCCGAAATTTTTGCTTTGATATAAATTATTTTCACTGAACAAACTTCAGCTTGCTATCTCAAACTTACGAACCCCAAACTCAGGTGGGGCAAGTGCACCAGCAGGTGGTCTCGGGCAGGATCATTCAAGGATTTTAACGCATTTTTGTCCTCCTTTCACTTGTACAACGCTATTTCCCAAGGATTCGTTCTCGTTTGAACGTTCTGAAATCATAAAATGTTTGCGCAGTTTGTTTGTAGATTTAATTAAGGAAGGAGTCGTCTTGGGTTTAAACATTGTGAAATGATATTTATACACATTTTGCGTATGCCCAAATGTCTGAAAAGAAATCGCACGGGTTTGAACAAAATAAAATCATTACTAAGTATCCTGCCCTAAACTTTGGTAACGGCATTCACACTTATGCCAAAGTCAACGAGTAAAAAGAGCCCCTACACACCTGTAGCTGTGGGATCGGCGATCAAAAAGGCGTGCCCCAACATAACCCAAGTTGAGCTGTAGAACCGAAGACCGTGAATGAACTGCAACTTTGAATCAGCTGGATCACTGGGGTCGGTCTTGAGCAGCTTTTCCGTATTAGAGACAATCGAAAAGCCAAGTGCGAGTTCCAGCAGAACGCCTGTTTTTGGAAGTTAAAAGATTCCTCTGGGTGAGTGTGGCCATTTGCTGCTGCTTTTTTCTGTTTAAATACACAACACGTATATATATCATCTCATAAACAAATTTAAAAACGCTAAAGATAGCTTAAAATGTTAGAGAGGAAAAATTATTCTTTGTGGTTCGGGATTCCGCGGCTCCTCTAGTTTTCCAGTTGTAATTTATCGATTATATATATTGCGTAACTACTGTAAAATATATTGCTTAATCAAACAAAATATAATCCAAATTTGTTTTTTGTGCCATATTTTTTTTAAATAATTTGGTGTTTCTATTTTTGTTTTGTTCGATCGGTAGTATATTCAATACTAAAAACAGATATTATGTTAAGCTTGTGGGAATTAATAACATCCTGCTTAAATAAGTACCGGAATAACAAACTATACCCACCAGAGAACGTAGTTTTACTGGTTGAACACCGCTGCGACATTTTCACACCCCAGCTTCACACCATCTAAATATGTTTCTAACTGGCACCGCTCTCTGACACAGCTACGTAAATGAAGATGTTCCAGCAGACAATTGTCCTTGGGAAAGTGCTGCTCGGCACTATCTCAAGGACATTGCTACAAAAACGAAGTCAGTTCCACGTGAACGGAACCTGTCTGAAAGCAACTCTGCATATTATCAAGACGTTTAGCGTCGGGGCATCTCTCAATGGAAAATGGGGACACAGATAAGCCAAGCAGCCAGGATATAAGGAATGAATTGTCGACACAAACCGAGGCCTCATTTCTTCGCCCACCTCTCGGTCTTCCTTGCGTCTTGGCTTTGAAGATTGTTCGCAAAGCGATGTCTATTCCAGTCCCCACGCACACCAGGGCTGCCATAGTTCCGAGCGTGGAGCTGCATGCGCATTCCGAAAAGAATAGAGCAAACAAAAAATGTGAACCAAATGATACGTCTAATCGAAGAAGCACAGGCAATCTTTCCGCCCGCCGTCGGTCGACTCACAGGATTCCAGTCTGCCAGCCGGTGACTTTGGTCTCCCCCTCCGCCTTGCAGCCACGAATGCGAACCACCATGCCGATTTTTTTGCCCACTGGAACGGCGACGCGAACGACATGCGTAGTCTTAAAGAGCGAGCTCCTCGACGTCAAGCTCCTCTAGATAGACTTTTTTTAAGAACAAAAAGAGAAAACAAAAGCGAGAAAGCCTTAAGAAGTGTATTGGGCAAAGCTCGTAACTGCCATGAGAATCGTTAGACTGCATCGCGTTTCAGAATTCTTTTTTCACCTCTAGTTTCGTCAAGAAATCAAAATGCATGTGAGAAAGAAAAAAAAACACTAAATACAATAGCCGTACAATTCTGGGTTCGTTCGATGAAGTTGAATGAAAGGGCACCCGCCGCACTCCACGTTTCAAAAAAAAAAAAAAAAAAACGGGGCCGAGTATACACGATTTCCTGGCTAATGGGAGGATGCAAAGTTAAAATCGAGAAAAATTCTTCCTTTCTTTTTAATATAGGCAGCGTGCCCTCCGACTCTGACGTGTCTTAAGAGGACGAGGTATAGATGGGTGACCGCGTAAGGCCCCGACTATCAAAAGCCTGCTCCCATTCAACAGACGTCAGTGACGATTAGCCGACCCCATTTCGCTTGCGGGTGTATTTTCGATCCGTGCACTTAAAACGTCCACGGAGATGTCCGTGGCGAAATCCTGACTCCAAACTGCCACGGCCCGCTACATTCGCAGCATTAGAGGTTGCGCGAAAGACTTCAAACGTCGTGCCAGTTGTCACAATTTTTGCTTTATTATTTTACTGAAACAGATTCAGAAAGAAGTATAAAATTCCGGTCCGCATACGTACTCGTGTTGAGAATATACGCGAGGTCCTCCGCCGAGCAAGTGGACGGGATGCAAGCTGACTGGCGAACGCCGTTGGCCATGTGATTCTTGATCCAGCGTAGCGGGTTTTTGTAGTCCTGCGGTGACCAGACAAAGACAGACACAAAACTTTAGTTGAACTTGAAAGTATCTCAGTGACATGAGGGCCATATCTGCGGTCACGTTATAAAAAAGGAGAAAGAAATTGTCGTGTGTCTCGCGGCACGATAAAGGAAGCGACAGCCAACCAAGTAGTTCCCAGCAGAACAACCCCCAGCCTTTATTCCGCGCGCGTATATATCGCCAACCGCCGTATCACTGATAAGCGGAGAGCGAGGCGAGTCACGTACGCAGGTCAGATAGTGAATGACAGTCAGTGATGGTACAGCAATATTATGATGATGCGGTCAGGATGACACCACAGAAATGTAAGGTTGTTTCTTGCCTACTTTGTGCTGCGTTTACGTCAGTAGCATGTTAAGATCGACCTTCTCTCTTCTGGGTGTCTTAAAGCCACAAGATAATTTTCAACCTACAGCAGTAAAGCTAACCTGTCCATCATTGTTCGTTCTAAAAAATCGTTCTTTTCTAACCCCAGGGTTACCAACAAAAGGGCAACAAGCCCAATTCTATGAAGGGCACGCAGAAAGACAACCTCTTTCATCTAGAATTTCCATAAGATTCATAGCAATTTTCTTTTATAAAGAGAGCACGGTTTCCTTATAGGCTCATTAGACAGTTTTAGTATAGAGTTGTTGGCTCTTACGTACGCAATACGCAATTATATAGCGTGCGCTAAAAACGACCAGCTCGGACCGAATTTACTTGTGCCTTACGTTTCCGAGTGAACACCTCGCATGATCCTGGTTAAATTTGCCTGAGCCGTAGAATTCCGCGTGCTTATAGGACCACCACGCACTCCACAAAAAATAAATAAAAAACATATAAATAAAAATAAAATACTAAAAATGATAACGTCTTTAATTATTTTATTTCAAATTAAACCAATCCGCAGCTGCCTCGTCAAGCGAGCTTTTCTGCTGGGTATAGAGGCTACGAGCACGAGTGCGTAGCTAAATTCGATCACGGAGTCTCCGCCAATCGTCCAGTGAAAACGGCACCTTACATCAATGCTATCGCGGAATGAAATCCATAACCTACTGATGTCCAGTGCATAGCGACCACTTCAGAGATTGCTTGAAGTTTGTCGGTCGGCGATGAACTGTGCGAATAGGCTTAGCGTTGAGCAGATCGCAGCGTTGACGCACATTGTAAGCGGTGAACATTTTCACTGTGCACTCCTTTAGCTGCACAGAGATCTAATTCGACCGCGGTAGGTCCCGGAATGAATTGCCGAGCTGAACACCACACAATTTCACGTAACACTGTGCTTCGCGAATACCCTGTCGTTCTTGCTGCGCCAGTCGAGGTAACTGCCATCTTGAAACTCTCTAGAGATCTCGTTGGGGCCCGAGATCTCCCGAGAGCTTCCCGCAAAGCCCGCTAGCCCGCAATGCAAGATCCCCAGCGTTGCGTGCGTATGCAATACGCTAGCTCTTCTGTTGCGTTCTGCGGATGCGCGCTCACGACCCGCAATTTCCTTGCGTACGCAAAGCTTTAGAGTACGGTCCACTAAAACAGTTTATTGTCGGAGTGGAGGTGGCATTTCCTTGGGAAATTTTTGGTCTTAGTTTTTATTCGGCATCTCCTATAAATTGCAGTAAAATACTCACCATATACTTTATAAGCAGATAGGTTCCAGACTTTTTTTTTTTTAATATCAGGATATGACAGGTTGATTTCCTGTATCGCGCTGTTGAAGTAGAGTATTTAGCAGCTGTCACCCCTTAGCTCGAGAAGGACCTCTCATTGAAAGCCTTCTTGACATGGTTTTTGTTTCCTCCAAGATTGCACGACAAGGTGCCCAGTGCGAAATAGTCGAAGGTATCTCTGATCACTCTTTAGTAGTATACAATCTAACGTTGGCTTGTCAGTTATCAACTACTATCAACATTAAGCGGTACCGTGACTTTAACAATGCGGATGATGTCGATATTTTAGACGTTCTGCAGGAAAGTTATTCGCTTTTTTACAATATGTATGATCCTGTTACAAGTACTACCAATGAATTATGGTTATGGTTTAAAGGTATAGTTCAGCACTGCATTCAGAAGTTTGTTCCATTGCGTATTAGGAGAGTGAAAAAGTTTAACCCATGGATTACACGTGACATTCTACATTTGAAGCGTAAAATACGGCAAGTTCGTAAATTTGGTAACGGGAATAACATTTCGTCTTTACCGTTTTTGCGCAGACAGATGAGGTCGTCTGTTAAAAATGCTAAACACCGTTTTTTTAACGTCACTTTGCATAACTATTTGCTTAGTGATCTCCGAAATTTTTGGAGGTTTTTGAAACGAAAGAAATGTTCTTTCTCGAACATGATACTGTGCAATATACTAACAAATAACAAGCAGTTAATTTCAAATGCTTTCAACGAGTACTTCACGTCTATATTTACTGTGGAAACGGGAATAGTTCCAAGTTATGAGAGTTCTAGAATAGTGATTCCGGACATCAGCATTACTGTAGAGAGAGTTTTTGCGACCCTCCTTAACCTTGACGTTAGGAATAGCCACGGTCCCGACGACATTCTGAATGTTTTTTTTTTTTTTTTTTGTTTAGGTATGCTGAATGGTCGGCAAAGTTTTTGCATTTGATTTATTGCCACAGTCTCAATACGGGAGACGTGCCTGATGAATGGATAAAGGCTAGGGTGATACGAATGTTTAAATCGGGTGACAATCAATGCGTCGAAAACTACAGACCTGTTTCACTTTTGTGTGCAGCCAGCAAAGTTCTTGAACACTTCGTATTCAAACATCTTATAACATTTTTTGAGGACAGTATGTTTTTTCAGGACGAACAGCAAGGATTCAGACGGGGTTTTTCCACTGTAACACAACTTGTTCATACGATACACGAACTTTACACGAACTTGCGGTTGTCATTGATATCGGCGGACAGACAGATGTTATCTTTTTAGATTTTGCGAAAGCATTCGATCGCGTCTCCCATGACAAACTACTGCATAAGTTACGCTTCATCATCAGTAACGAGAACATATTACGATGGCTCGATTCCTATCTCTCTAACCGTGCGCAGTGTGTTAGTGTTGACTCTGTTTTTTCCCCCGAGTCACCCGTTTTGTGCTTGGTCCTTGGGCCGCTTTTGGCTCGGTCCTTGGGCCGCTTTTGTTTTTAATTTTTATTAAATATTTAAAGATACAACACCCCAATGTACAAAGTCGATTCTTTGATGATGGTTGTGTTTTATTTGCTAAGGTAAACAACCCGTCTGATCAAGAAGAATTAAATTATTGTCTATCTTTGGTTCATGCATGGTGCATAAAATGGAATGTGGTTCTGAACTGTAAAAAGTGCGTTCAATTGACCGTGACGCGGAAAAACAACCCTTTGCTTTTACATATTCTATCAATGGAGTACCGCTTGAGACTGTTAAACAACATCAATACCTCAGAGTTTTAATTACGTCTGATTTGTCATGGGGTGCACATATTGAGTTTATAGCTCGTAAAGCAATGCGGAAGTTCTGGTTTTTGAAACGAAATATTAACCTCTGTTCACCTGAAACTAAACTGACTGCTTATAAAACCATCATAAGACCAACGCTAGAATATGCATGTATTGTATGGGACCCTCATACAAAGGTGTCAATCGATATGTTAGAGACTGTGCAAAAAAAAAAAAAAAGCATTGCGGTTTGTGTACAACCGTTCTGGTTTTATGTCATCCGTTTCAGATTTGTATCCAAGATCGGGATTGAGTGATTTAGCAACCCGGGGAAAAACAGAACGGCTGAAGTTTTTTTATAATATGATACAATGTAATTTGCGACTGCATCTCTGTGATTACACTTCGTTTAACGAAACAAGGCCCACGAGAGGCAAACACCAATTAACACTTGTTGAACCATTGTGTCGAACCACTTTGTTTAAAGCATCCTTTTTTCCTAGACCCACGTGTGAGTGGAATAAGCTTCCTGAAAGTGTTGTAAATTTGAGATCAATAGATACTTTTAGTGAAGCCCTACTCTCGCACTTTGTTGAGTCGTGGCTCTGTCTGTTTGTTTGTACTGCTTCCGCTTGTTCTTGAATATTGATTTTGTACACCTCCTGCCTGGGCGTTCTACAGAATGCTGGCAGTATCACCAAATAAAATAAAATAAATAAAGAAATAAAGAAATTACAGCAACATGTCTTATAGGAAAGAATGTTGAGTCACCTAACAATCTAAAACGGCGGAAATGCAATTTTAATTTATTACTTATACAATAATGATTAACCTTAGGCATTATGCCTACCTAAAAGAACTACGCATATGCCGAACTTTTTTTTTTAAATACAGGAACTAAGGTGTCGCGTCTGAATTTAAAACTTGGCATAAAGTAAAGATATCACACATGCTATATATACTCGCTTCTAGTTTCGATACCATTTTGAAAAACCCTCTTTATAACCGAAAAACAATATTTCATAAGTGATGTAAAAATTTAAGCCGTCTGCTGTTAAAAAATCTTAGTGATGATGACAACCACCCCGTGCACACATGTTCATGTTTTCATAAACCTAAAGTATGTGCTCAATTATCTTCTCTTACTTAAACCCGTGGTAGCGTGTCACGTAAAATTTAAAAGATTTGCACTATACTTTGTTTCAGTCCAGAGGCCGCTGACGCTACGAGGTCATGGTACCAATCGAGCATCGTCAAAAGTGCAAGTCACTGGGCTTTTTCTGTTTATGATTGGTTCAGCGATGAGAGAGCACGCACAGAAACCTGACGAACACCATGATGGTGCGCTTTTGATGCTGTCTTATTGGTCCTATCAGCTTCTGGCGTCGACTGCGTATGGATTTAAGGTAAAACGATGTATAGCTTGATCATGCTGATAAAAACCGGGAATTATCGACCAACACACTGTTTACAGACAAGCCCGTGTTTGCCCACCGGGTGGGAGCATTGCGCACGCGCAGAAATCAGATTCGCCCGAGGCGAAGCATCTGCCCATGCGCAGAACC